GCACATATACTTTCCACAATGTTGGGGAAATTCCCTTCTATTCCTACTTTGCTGAGTGTCTTAATCAAGAATATGTGTTGGATTTTGCCAAAGACCTTTTCTGTGTTACTTCATATAACCATATAGTTCTCTTTTTTTTACTTTACTTTATACTGGTTTACTTACAAAGTTCGTATACATTGTTTATCACACTGGATCTTTCCCATTTCCTGAACCCACTTCTTCCTCCACCCATCAAATTGTGTGACCTTATAATTACCCGCTGCCAGCCCTTCCTCACCCATCTACTCCCACCCTCCCTCCCTTGGCTCCTCAGGCATGTTTTGCTACTTATCTCTTTACAATAATGGTCTTATACAGTATTTGTTCTTATGGGACTCACTTAGTTCATTTAGCATAATGCTCTCTAGTCCCTCCCAAGTTATATAGTGATTTACAGAGCCATTGCTCCTACGTGCTGCATAGTATTCCATCGTGTGAATGTACCATAATTTCTCAATCCATCTGATTGTGGTTGGAACACTTTGTTATGTTAATGTGATATATTACACTGATTGCTTTTCTTATATTCAACCATCCTTGCATACATAACTGTTATTACTCTCCTGTGGTCATGATAAACTATTTTTTTTAATTTTATTTTATTATTTGTGTGTGAGTGTATACCGTCAAATCAGATCTGACTGGTACAGTAAGAGATTGTTCCTCCTTCTCCAACAGAGCATCTGGTGGATTTGAACCCTGCACCTCTGGGATTGCAGTACACCTTCTTGCCACTAGGCCACCAGAGCTCACCGATGAACTATTTTTTATATATTGTTGGACCCACTTGGCCAGGATTTTGTTAAAGATTTTTGCATCTATGTTGATGAGAGATATTGGTTCGTAGTTTTCTTTTTTAAAAAAAAAATTGTATATTGATTTATTTACAAAACTTGAATATGTTGTTTTTCACAAAAAATCCTTCACCCCATCTATTGAATTGTGCAACCTTATGATTAACATCCTATTCCCCCACCTATTATTATCCCTCTATTTCCATCCCCCCCTTTGGGTCCTCATACTCAGTCTACAATAATGGTTTTATACAGTATTTGTCCTTGTGGGACTTAGTTCAGTCAGCAAAATGTTTTCTACTCCCTCCCAAGTTACATTTAAAACCAGGCCCAAGGGCCCAACCGAATTTAAAAACCAATGCATGGTTCGAACCCCCCAAGCTCCACCATTCCACATTCCTCTATAACCAAGCAGTCCCATTGGCTCTCACCACTCAAAAGTGCCTCACTGGGACCATGCCTCGCATTCCCAGTCTCCAACCAAATTCAGTTGGAGACAAAATATAATTGGGATTTAATTTTTTACCTAGTCTTCTACTCATTTTTTCTCTTAGTTGGTATCATTGAGCCATTCACATTAAGTATGACTATTCACACATGCCAGGTTTTCTCACTGCCATTTTGCTTTGTTTCTTTTTCTGTTTTTGCTGGTTACATTGGTCCACCCACTTTGCTTTGCTACCTGTCTGTGAAGGACTTCACTTAGTGTTTCTCGTAGACTTGGTCTTGTCTTCACAAATTCCTTCTTCTTGTTGTTGTTGGGTGCTGTCAGGTCAAGTATGACTCATGGCAATCCTGTGAACAACAAAACTCTGTCCTATCCTGTGCCATCTTCACACTTCCTTGCACACTGGAGCCCATTGCAGCAGTTACTGGGTCAATCCACCTGGTCGTGGGTCTTCCTCTCCTTTGCCACTCTCCACACTTGCAAGCATCATGTCCCTTTCCAAGGAATAGCCCCTCCTAGCAACACACCCAAAGTATTTGTTTGTTTCAGTGCTTCTCTCCAATGCCATAGCTCAAAGGCATCGATTCTTCTGTCATCCTTATTAATTCATCACTTTTTTGCAAGTAACCTAATTTCTCCTTCATATTTGATGTACAGCTTTGCTATGTACAAGATCTTTAACTGATCATTATTTTCTTTCAGCTTCCTATATATGCCATCCCACTGTCTTTTCACTTGTATTGTTTCTGCTAAGAAACCAGAGCTAAATCTAATTAGATCTCCTCTTAGGTGATTCTTTGTGTTTCTTGTGCTGCGTTTAGTATTTTAACCTTATCTTTGATTTTGGAGAATTTTACTATGATGTGTTTTGATGTCTTTCCTTTGGGCTCTAATCTGTTTGGATATCATTGAACGTCTTTTCTTTCTATCCATATCTTTTTTTAAATTAATTTAAATGAAAGTTTACAGAGACTTAAGGTTTCCAGTCATTCATGGTTGCATTTTTCTCCCTCCCCCTTCTTCCCTTCCCAATTCATTCTTTTCCTTGAAAACAAAGAAAAATTCTTTCATTGTTATGCAATCTCTCCCCCCCTTCTCAAGTCCACTCCACTATGCAGTCTATGCTCTGGACTTCTTTAATGATAAGAATACCCATTCATATATCCCTTTTAAACAGTTCTCTCCCTCATCTGTTTCAAAGCAATATACATCATTCCTCCCCTCCTTTTCTGTCTTTTCTCAACACTGATCTCAGTCCCTTTTTAAAACAGTGGTCCTATGCAATAATTGTCTTTTTGTTACTGAGATATTTCACTCAGTATAATGTCCTCCAGGGTCATCCATTTTGTATAATATTCCATGAGTTTCTTGGTTTTCAATGCTGCATAGTATTTCATTGTGTAAATATACCAGAGCTTCTCTATCCATTCGTTTGTTGTTGGGTACTTGGATCATTGAGCTTCTTGAATGTGAATTTCATCATTTTTCATGTCATCTGGGAAGTTTTCTTCTAGTACGTCTTCTACAATTTTCTCAATGCTTCCCCACCCCCTTCTGTCCTGTTGTGGAATTTCAATCACACATATATTTTCCCATTTGATGTTTTTGGTTTTTTTGTTTTGATTTGGTTTGGTTCCTTTTCCTTCTGCCTTCTCTCTGGCTTTTATCTTAAGTTCCCATTGAGGTTCTTATCGTGCAGCTCTCTATCTTCCATCTCTTAAATTCTTCTTCTTTTTTTTTTTTTGCTTTTTATACCTCAAGCAGGCTGAAAAGTTCTGCCATTTTGTTCTTTATTCTGGATTGCATTTTCATGAATTTCTATTGTGTCTAGTACTATTTTGGTTATACACTGTCTTATGATGATATTTTAAATTCTTATGCTTCTTTATTTATGGTTTTTACTCATTATTCCAGTTGTTGTTATGTGCCGTCGAGCTGCTTGTACTTATCACTTTTTCAGTACCAGTTCCTATAACTCCACATCGATGTATTTTTTCCCCTCCTTATCTCTGGGATATTCATTAGGTCCATGATCTGCTCTACTTTTTTTAGGAGAAATTTTTCATAGTGTTGAACTTGCCTGCTGCTTCCATGACATTATGTGAAGTTCTTCTTGGTATGTGTAACATAATCTCTGTTGTGTCTGTGTAAGGTGTTGTCAATTCCTTATTTTTATGATGCTATTGATAAGTAGCAGACTATAAATGCTGCCCCTGATTCAGTTACTGAGTGACAACCTTTCCCACCAGCTGTTTATGGGAAGATCTGTTTCTCCTTTCCTGTGGCAAACTTCTCATTCAGTTGTCCTTTGAGGGATTATGAACTGAATGGAGTTGCTCCTTCTGTGCAACTGTGTTGGGCCTGTTTCTCTGTCCTGTCCTATAGTTGGATGGCAGGGAGTGATTTACTCCAGGGTTAGGCAAAGTCCTGTGCATGCTGCATGGGATATCTTGCCTAGCGCAAAGGGCCAGGGAAGTAGCAAGGTCCCAGGACTACAGCCCTCAAGTCTCAGACTTTGATAGTAGTGGAAGGGTGAATCAGATACCTATCTTCTCTTTTATGATTAGTTGGGAGGCAGCTATTCCCCTCTGAGCAGATAAAGGCTCAAGGAAGTAAGAAAGTCCCTACAGTACAATCCTCAAATCTCAGTAGGTAATAATATGGAAGGTTATATTAATTTTATACTTACTAACTTCAGAGACACTGATCCCAACATAAGGAACTACCATCACCTGATGTGTTTGAAATCACAGAAGCCATGGAAGCTTCATAT